TTCCTCCCATGCTATTAATTAACGATATAGCTCGATCGGTTTAGTTCTCAGTTGTTTTGTTGAGTTCCATCTAGAATTCAGTTTCACGGGAACGATACATAAGTGATGAATCAGCATAATACACGTCGGATTGTTTAAATGAATCATTCAAATTCCATCGTTGTAGTCGACAGGGCAGAGCCGGTTTCAACTGTGTCGTCACGGTTTGTTTATATCGATGGCCGACTGACGTCTCAAATCGTTTCCACCGGCTTGCGAAGGCAGTTTTATCGCGACAAGACCTTCGCCTTGTCGTTAGCTATAACTACTAGGTCCTGACAACTGTCTTTTACTGCACGACAGGTAATCTGCAAGACTGTAGTCAGGGGTTTCCAAACTTTTTCAATTCGAGGCGCACTAACAAGTTTAATAATTAATCTCGACGCCCCAGCTGGTCGAAACAGAGTACAATGATACTAGATAGAGGAAATACAATGACAACTTGGTCAATATGACGTGCGAGTTTGGTGATCTCCACACATGTAGATCTATATTTGCTCTTTATGACAGCAACATCTGAAAATCCGGTTTATATTGTACTCGCGAATTTATAAAAAGTTTAGTTTCCGGAGAAAGGTAAACAGGTGCTTCTCACAGCGCCCCTCTCTACGGCGAACCAGGGCGCTGCGGGGCACACTTTGAGAACCCCTGCTGTAGTTGACTACACAGTCCTCTGTATGGCTCGCTGTGTGCTCTCGTGAACAAATAGACTAAGACGAAATCTAGACATGGGTGCGGCGTGGGTCTCGAATGTATTATATCGTCACAATTTATCAATCATAATCACGGTTTGTTGCAACGGCTATTTGTCGTTAATGTAAACACATTATAGTCAACCAAATCTAAGAAATACCTTTTGACGTTTCACATTAATCATTCCGCAATAACTTTACACAAGCGTACTCATACGATTTACAATAACCTAAATCCGAAGAATTATGAAGTTATTTATATTTAATTACAACGTGTTTAGTTTTTTATCGCTAATTTAAATTCGAATCTTTCAAATAAAGCCAAATATTAAAAAAATAACCAGTATCAACTTTTTTACTTGACGTCGTTTCAATGATATGTCGCTATGTGCCATACCGTAATGTTTGGATCATTAAAATTCATTGATATGCGAATAATCGGCAAAAAGATTCAAATAATCGTTAAAAATATTCAAATAATCGAATCATTATTTTTAATGTAATATTTGTTTAATTAAATTTTTATTTTTAAAATTCCTTAAATTACATGAATCGTGAATAAAACAAGTTAATTTTTTTACTTTGTCAACGTAAAGGACAATGGTGAATTGAACTCCCAAATAAATTTAAGTTGACTTTTTTCTTGCGTCTACAAATGGAAAATATGTAAAAATATAGTTTAAGATCCTGTACATTTTTTCTTCGGTCATACTACTACTGCAAGAAGTCAGGAATTAGAGATATTCCAGTTTAAACAAAATACACATCAGACTAGGCTGTATGGTATAAAACGTCTTAACTGGGAAATCGTTACAACTAGTCAATATAATTTTCACATATGTTTATATAGGGTAGTTACTACTAACATGGAGGGAATCCTTAAAGAACGCATTAGTATGTATAGAAGAGTTTTCTGAATAAAATACACGTCAAACTTGGCTGTATGTTATAAGATCTTCGTCTGTCTTAACTAACGAATCGTAACAACTACAACAACTATTAGTTTTTCTATAGTAAATTATTTTATTGATATCTGTAATGGTGACTTAGGTAGACACTTAACAATGCCATCACCTATTATTCGCCATTGTCCTTTGTGTAGGCAAAAAAACTCATACACCAGGCCGCACTGAAAAATCCACTACGTAATTTCAATCTTCCGCCATTTTGGGAGCTTACTGTGCGTAATTTTGTGTTTGTCTTCTTATTTTGTGACTCTGTTTTAACTTTTTGGAATGTTTCTTCTATATTCATTGAAGCATGTGCCCATGTCAAAAACGATTTTGACTTTATTAATTTTGACTGCATTATTGAAATCAAATAATAATTAATCTAAACAACGTCAAATCAAGTAGTTGTACTGAAAGTGATTGAATAAATTTATTTTTAATCCAGTTTCAATTCAAATTTTTTTATAATTGTGCCTCTAGAAATAAGCAGTTACAATAAATACGAAGAAACTGATAAATTTTTAGTATTTCAAATTATACGTTTTTAATTTATTCTGGTATTATTCAAACCAAACTATAAATGATTACTAACTCTAAATAATCGATATCGATTTTTTTTAATGATCGAATATTGTACGTTCCCATTTTTTGGTTGGCATGCTTAGTGCAATAAGTCTGACAGCTGTCAAAATGTATTTCTTAGATTTGGTTGACTATAATAAGATATTAGTAGGCAATAACATCAATTCGACAAAATTAGTACTCGTACAAAATTAGTAGTCGGAGTCGACAGTTAGCCATGCTATATATGAACAGCTTCCCACATATATTACGAAACAAGGTCGTTTATCCGAGTCTGTCTGTGTATTCATTTACAAATTTAAAACTACAAGATTGATTTTGAAGCGGACTTTACCATTTCTCGAGAAAAAAATAATTTCTTGAGGATTAATATATAAGTGTATAAACTTAGTAAACTAGCATATTTTGTGTAAGGATATTTGTGAGAAATTAAAAAAAAATTGAGCAGGGCAAACCCTACTGTATATATAATATAATATAGTATATCACTAGTGTGTGTATGATTAGAGATGCCACGATACTCGCTGTTATTCGGTATTCGGCATTACTCGACATTTTTTTCTTATTCATAAAGAAACGTAAATTTTTCTTAAAATATAAAACACACTTAGTATTAATTATTATCATTAATATAAAAAGTTAGCCAAAAATCGGTCATGTCATATTAAAGTTAATTAGTAAGGTTTTTTGATTAATAATTAAAGTCTAAAAGGGGCAGATTGTGGGCAAAAAAACTAGTTTTTTTTGCACGATACGGACCGAGTCGGTTGCGCTTTTATTCAAAAAAATTTACATCACACAAAACTTTGCACTGTTTTTCTCCTCAAAGTAACGCCAAACAAGAGATTTTTCCCCGCATTTGACATTATTGTTTTTTTTTTTTTGGAACTCATTTCTTTAACTTCATAATTTTCTTTTCTCGTAACCTTAGAAAAATGTTTAGATCACAGTAACAAATAAATGAAAGATAAAATCAACATGACAAATAAATTATTTTTATATGTTGAATAATAATGGAAGTAATTGACTATTCGCCATGGGGAATGGCGATTAATCGGTACTAAACCAGTCGCTATAACAAGTACTTTCGGCATCTTTAGTACCTATGCATATTATAGTATGCCACAATATGCTCGAGTTAAATTTATGACAATTTATTTTAGACAGCTATTTATTTACTTATTTTTTATTGTACACCACATACAAAATGGAACAGAAGTACAGTATCACAAAAATATACAACAGGATTGTAGGATTTTGGATTTTTCTAAGTTAAGAAAAGTTTTTTTTTATATTATAAAATTGTTATGAAAGTTTTTGTGTGAACATAATTTATATTTTTATGTAAATAATTTCGAGTAATATATAGAAATAATAGTAATTTTCACGCTACCGACATCCGCTTGGTATGTAGTTATCAAAATACAATAAAGTATTTTTTAATGATTAATCCATTCAATAACTGACTTTTGTTTAAACTATAGAGTAGAGAATTTTGTATAGATTCTACAATGCCAAACTTCTTTATAGAAAAGTAGTCTATAAGTTTTTATGGCATGCGTCCGTCAAATCCCGAGGGTCGCATGCGACCGCACCCACCCACAGCACTTTAAACCATTAAAACTTATATTTATAGACTACTTTTCTTTAAAGAAGTTGTGTGTGCTGTGGGCTCGGGATTTGATGGACGCATGTGACTGCGTGGGAATCTTAAGAGGATTGAGGAGTTAAATAGTGATGCAACGAATACGAATACGAATATTCGCCGAATAGTAGACATTTACCGAATATTCGTATTCGGCGAATGCTAATCACGAATATTTAAAAACCAATAGTTTTGTACGTAACTCTAATTACTGGCAGACTTGGAAAACGCGTGTCGTCGGTGTGAAAAAATACGTGTGTATAGGCCCTTAGCTGCAACAACGGGCTCCCATCCAAAGCGTCCATTTTCCAAGGCTGAAAAAACTCGCCTAAAAACATTTTTCACTGAAACCATGTACGGTCGCCTCGGAAAGGCTTTTTTCAACGGCTGGGAACATCCAGACTGAAAAAAGAAATCGCTCAATACCAGAAAATCTACAAGTTTTATGTTTTAAATAAAGATTTGCCTATTGTAAATTCTAATTATTTGAACAATAGAAAATCATCGAATGAATCCGTTATATATTACCCTGGCGAGATATTCGTACCTTTTCGTATTCGTATTCGTCGAATATTAGGTTTGATATTCGTATTCGTAAAAGTATTATTCGTTGCATCACTACTTTTAAAAAGCATTACCTATAATTTAAATTAAATAAAAATGATTCTATTCTATGACTTCCGAAAACAACAATGTTTTTGTATGTTTTATGTAAACCTGCAAAAGCCTAATTTTTTTAGACTAGGTATTTATGTGGAAAATTAATCAATATAATCCGCGTAGGTAAATCGTGTTGAAACTATACTTGTAATTTATTAAGTTATAATTATATCGAACTAAAAGTTTTAATATTAGATAAATGTGTTAACATAACAACACCTTTTTTTGGTGCTTTTTTTTCTTTTTTTCCCCAGGGGACCGTTTTTTTTTTTTTTTTTTGAGGGGAGATGGATGCTTTTGCACGGGGGTCGTTTGTCCCCTTTTAATTGTAAGTCTATCACTAAAGATATAAAAGCCATTATTTTGTGTTAAACTGCTCATCTTATATTGCATCTAACTTCTTGTCCATGTTTACAAGTATGGCGAACATACCGAAGTCCCATGAGCGGCAGATGGGGCACGTGCTGCGCGCCGGCCTCGCTACACCATTCCGGATACGCGCGCCGGAACTCCATAAAGTCGCCTGGTGACAACACAACCACAATTACTCGCAAAATTCATAACAAACAACGATACTTAATTTACAACGCAACAATTACGCTTCTTTATCTCAGTGTTGGGCAAATAGCATTTTGTTTTTCCATGCCTGAATGAGCAAAGCCAGGCTAGTGCTCAATTTATCAAAACATAATTATTTTTTAGAACTTTTGTTTTCATTGAGTTCAAAAAACTTTTGTTTTCATTTAGGCTTGATAAAGTAAGTAAAGTTGTAAAGAATTAAAGTCAACTCACTCACAGTAAAACTGTTGCTTAATGCTGCTGTGTTTCGTATGGTGATGGTGAGTGTAGAACAGCCGGAGACCCTTTTTACTGGAAACGAGGCATTCCATCTAAAGACCGATTTACACTTCGACAAGTACAGTAGCGAGTTTAGTTACAGGACAGTTGACAGTAAACGGTTAAGTGGGCAGTAGCGTTCAAACAATGTCTTCGTGGCGAGTTTAGTTAGGGACATTAGTTCATAGAGTTCGTTGAAATATGACGTTTCAAGATTACAGAATTTTTTCGGTTTTCGTTTAAGATAGTTTTAGGATTACGTCAAGAATTATATGATCCAGTCAGAGAAGTATGTTTGTTGTTAAAAAAATTTCATGAGTGCAGCATCGCGAGCAGGTTTAATTTTACAATTTGAACTTCTACTACTATATAAACATACGTGTTCTAAATACTCCTGTACGAATTTATACGTGATATCTTCCGCCCATTTCATTATTAAAACTCAATATAAAACGTATAAATATTCAATAAACAGTATCGTACAAACTTTGTGGCGAGTTTAATTATAAAAGTACAATTGTACGTTTTGGTGCGCAAACGTTGCGTCCTGTCAACTTATGCACTGAACTAAACTCGTTCGTTTACACAAACGGCAAGTTTAGTTGCGGGTGGCGGGAGACACGGCGGAAGGGCAGCACTTCGCACTTAACTCGCCGAAAAATAGCTCGGCCGGCAATCCCGTTCAACTTAATCGTTAACTTGCTACTTAACTCGCTTATTGCCGTTCAAACGAGGTTCAAACTTAACTCGCCAGGTTCGCAAGTTAACTCGCTACTGTACTTGTCGAAGTGTAAATCTGTCTTTAGTGTGCTCAAGGGTGACAATGCATCTCTGGTTTAATTCTTAATTATTTTAAAGTAAAATAGATTTCTTAATTAAAGAAAACCACAAAAACGTCAAAACGATGAGGGAGGTGGCAAGTGACGTAGCGAAGTAGAGTTTCCGGCGCCGCGCCGTCGTTCAGTTGGCCGTCTGTTTCCTGCCATCCGACAGTCGATGCGTCCGGCATTTGTGATGCTAAATGCTAATACTGTTCTTTGCATCACGACGCTCTAGTGGCTTTATATATTCATATCGTTATTTGATATCTTATATTTTCAATGCAACGATATCGAAGAATTTATGTTTACATATCTCAAAGGAAATATTTTAAGACGAATTACTGATAACTATTATATCAATATAGTTATATATAATAGTTTATATATAATAATTTGTATATAATAGTTTGTAGCATTTAAAGTAATACCCTATTTGTAAATTTAATTTCTTATACAATTGGTGATGCTTTTTAAAATATATACATTGAAAATTAAAAAGCTATGTATGTGCCATGAACTTGCTCGAATTTCAGCATAATAATGTATCATTTTGTTCTTTAGTACTATCGTAAAATTCAAACACTAATTGTCTATAGATTCTAATCGGGTTTAGGCTGATCGTCGTGTTGCATTTGCCAGCGTAATTATTAAAAATATAGGAGCGGGGCGGAGTTGCAGGTCGGCCGAAGCACGCAGTCGCGCGGCGACCTGCGAGCGCGGGCGGGCGAGAGGCGGCTGCTTGGTGCGGGGAGGGCAGCGGCATCGATCCGGTGACTCATCGCTCGGGCCCATTCATCCGCCACGCTGAATGAAATCGTAGCCGCCCGCGCCCGCCACCCCCCACGCATCCTCGCTCACAAGGACTCCTTTAAATTCGCCCGGCTAGGGTGAATCAAATCCTTCATCCCTTTACACCCACGTAGCGCGATCGTTTATCCGTTCTAGCGTGTTTGTACTCACTGCCACCCACTAGCCCTCGGAAGCTTGGCGACAATTTTCGTAATCAACATCATCTCTACATAACACTTATTAAAAGTAATTTTTTTTATTTACCACTAGTTCGAAAAAAACCTCTGTCCTGGCAAAACCAGCAAGAAACCCAGTGGGACGTTTTTTAAAAACATATTTCAATTTGCAATAAATTTATTTTGTACAATTTTTGAATGAAATTTTATAGAACCAGCATGATGGCGATCACCTCATTCCCAGGGGTTATATTCATTTATGTATTCTTTTATATTATAATAACCATTTTTGTATATTTTTTTCTTTAATAAAACATTTAAACTTGTTCAATGACAAACTTTGTACATTCTCTGGGATTTTGTTGTAAAAGCATGTATACATTGCCCCATAAATGAATTACTGATTCTATAAAATCTAGTAACTGGTATTACAAGCTTATGTTTGTTGCTAGTGCTTAAAGTATGAACATCTTTATTCTTATGAAAGCTATTTATGTTTTTATGTACATACATTACATTTTCATAAATATATTGCGATGCCAAAGTTAATGTGTTTATTTATTAAAATTTTTTCTCTAAGAGACTCTTTACTATTTAAGTTATAAATCGCCCGTACGGCTCTCTTTTGCAAAACAAATATGACTTCAATGTCAGTCTAACATTTAATAGGAATAATATATGATTCCACCCGGAGACTTTTTTGTTTGAATTTAACTTTAAAATACAGTCTTGCTTATGCAGTGCAAGAGCAAATAGTTAATTTTATGGAAGAAGAATACAACTGCCTAAAATTAAATAAATGTTTTATTTAATTCATCTATTTTTTGATAATGCGTCTAGTTACGGTAGTGCAGCTCAGCTCGGCGTAGCACCCGAGCGACCATGTTTTGCTCTGGGGTTAGAAAAATAACTTGTCTTTTATTTTTCAGGCATGGTACCTATCTTATCTAGATATATTATTAGAACTTGCAGAGTAAAACATTATCTAAACATATATGTAGGTGCTCATGTACATTTTTATTGCTGTAGTGTGCGTAAGCTCGTGAGACAAAAAGAAATATCGAGTACTGTTAAAACGGGGAAAAAACAGAGAAAAGATGTGCACGATGATATAAAAAAAATTAATATCTTCTCAGCTAAGCAGCATAGTCCGCCTTCACAAAATAAGACATCTATACACATTTCGATAAAATATTTAAAACAACAAATTGGTGACAATTCTCAGCTGTCCACCCATGTGACGTGTAGTCCACTTAAAAGCATTCGCTGCCCACGCTACCTACGCCCGTGTAGGAGGCACATGCACTCTATAGCGTTATTTATGGTTCACAATGAGGCGAGGAGATCGAGCCGGTGAGGGCGGCGTGGGCGGCAGGCGAGGACTGCGCAGACCTTGGCCCTCTGGCTCGGGCGTCCTTAACAGTAGCCTCGCACGCTACCAGCCTTGCGGCGTAAACGCTTTTTACTCATGTTAATTCTTGATGAATAGCTGTTACTATATACATAAGCGAAAAAAATTGTTGCACCTATTGAGCTCACGGCGTTATTCGTATGTTATGAAGACATAAATAACTATTGAGTTTGTCCGGAATTATTTTCAGAGCGGCTGAACCGAGGAAAGTTCACGAACAGCAATGCCAGCCGTGATTTCGGTTGTATTTTATTTGTAAAACTTGGAGGACTTTTGTTAAAACAAACAAAAGTGATAAAATATAATGCAAAAGATGGAAAAAATCGAAAAAAAAACTTTGCTTTGTAATTTTACATAGAACTTTTTAAGATATTAAAATAATCGATTATTTAAATTTTTTACCTAACTCTAGTTTACAACAAGACTATGTTAAAGGATACGGTGTCAGTCACCGTTTTACGTAAAATTATAAAAACATATTTTTTGATAATTGAACTACCGGTTTTAATTTGCTTAAGTTTTTAAAAAAAATCATAATTTTATATTATATTGCCAGCTAATTTAAATTTAGATGTTTGGCAAAAAATATTATAAAATTCATGTAAAATGAAGATTTCAACGATGACAGTTCAGTAACACTTAAATGACGTAACATTTCTTTTAATATCAACTTCTCCACTAAGTATTGCTTTTGTCTCAAGTTATATACCTAGTAATCTACAGAATCCCAGATTCGATTTAATGGCCATTTAATGAGTCACTAGCTCTCGTTACAGATATATTACTTATGGTTGCAGCACCAATTGGTTGGCTCGACCGGAGAAGGACCACGCTCTCAGAGAATACCCGCGTAAAATACCAGCCTGCGAGTGTAGACAACTCCTTTTCAATATTTTAAATATAGGAATACCCTTTTTAATGGAAACGAGGCATTCCATCTTAGTCCTCAGGGGTGACAACACATGAGTGTTTTGGTTCTTAATCGAGGATAAATGTAGATGCCTATGGGCCATAGCGGCTACTTGCACTTACGCCCATAAACTACGATGGAGAATCGAAAATACAGATGCGTCATCATCCTAAAAGACTTGGATGGAATCGCTCGTAGTTAATTATCAAATGGGCATAGAACTTTCCTAACATAAGGGTTGGTTCGGTAAGCAATCATACAAAAATAAATAACTTTCGTGTTGTTCGGCGAACGAATATGAAATTAAAAATAACACACAAACTCAATATTTAAAGCGGCAATCCTGTGTCAATAGAAGGCGGTTCAATAAAAGCGTCCGAATGCTGTCGCATTATTCGAGGTTAAGTTATATTTGCGGTGATCAATTATTAAATGGATGACCGGATGACCGTTTTAGTGGCATTAGTTCCTACGGTACGAGTATATGTATGGATGTTGTATATTCTATACAAATAAATAAAATCCTTACATAAAAAAATCTATTTGTAATGTCAAAATAACAGCTTTACCGTACATAAT